GAAGTGGAATCCTGGACGGGCCGTGGCTACGCCCATGGGCATGAGGCGGGTGGTGTAAACAGGGCGCAGTTGTGGAGGCCAGGGAGGTGTGGGGTGCACCGCATCATGGGGCCCACTGTCCAAAGGTCTCAGCCTCACCTGCCCACCGCGTGTTGGTGGGAGGACGAGGCCCACCTTCATCTCCACATGGGAGGAGGGCTCCGGCCTCTGCTGTCCCCCGCCTTGGGCTGGCACGAAGTCCCCCTGGACCCTGGCCTCGGGGAGCACCGGAGGGCACCCCAGGGCCCGCCTCTTCCTGCCCCTTCGTGAAGACGCCCCCACTGGAGAGCGAACGTCCACACAGACTCCCATCTTCGCTAGTCCTTCCACCCCCAGAGGCTGGGGATCTCTGCAGCGGGTGGGAGGCCTGGGGGTCCCAGGGCCAGGGGGGATGCCCAGAGACCCCTGTGTCTGGTGGGAGGCCTGGGGGTCCTGGTGTTGGGGGGAGGCCTGGGGGCCTTGGTGTCTGACCAAAGGCCTGGGGGTCCCTGTGTTGGGTGTGAATCCCTGGGTTCCTGCATCTGGTGGAGGTCTGGGGCCCTGGCATCGGGGGAAGCCCTGGTCCCCGCACTGGGTGGGAGGCCTGGGGGTCCTGGTGTCGGGGGCAGGCCTGGAGGTCCCTTCGTCTGGTGGGGAGGCCTGGGAGTCCTGGCGTTGGAGGGGAGGCCTGAGGGTCTCTTCGCCTGGTGGGAGGCCTGGGGTCTCTGAGTCAGGGGTGAGGCCCTGGGTCCCCGAGTCTGGTGGGAGGCCTGGGGGTCCTGGTGTCAGGTGGCAGGCCTGGGCGTCCTGGCATGGAATGATGGATTCCAAGTGACCCCGGAGCCCCTCCTGCTCTGGTCTCCCCCTCCCCCGTGGACCCAGCGTGCTCAGGGACAAAAGCTAAGAATGCCGGGGCCGGGGCCTATGTTGGCCTCTGGCTGGGCTCCAGGAATCCCACAGGCATGTCGGGGCTGGCTGGTGGCCAGGACGCGTTTGGTGGGTGTGCAGGCGTGGGGGAGGGGGAGCTCACAGGAGCTTCAGGCCCCGCCCATGGGCGAGGCCACTCCTCAGCGCCAGTCTGGCCCCTGTAGGAGGCCCGCTGGGTGTCCCCGTGCTGGTGTTGGGGAGGCCGGTTGCAGCCCGACCAGGGAGAGGACACCCAGCTCCGAGCAAGAAGGGCGACTGCATCTGATACCTACATGGCGCCTGTGCTCCCTGGGCGAGGAATGCGTCTGTCCCCCTGGGCCGGCGTCCCTCCGGTCTTGCCACATCCCGGAGGGGCTGGCGAAAGCTTGCTGTGGGAAACTCCCTTCAGAAGCCTCGGGGTAGGGTGGGCGTTGCCCTGTTTGGCCGACATGGACACTGACCCCAGGCATGTTCGATCTTCGGAAGTCTGGGTCTGGGCGGGGACTATTTGTCCCTGACCCTCGTGTGTCCTGCCTGGGAAGGATCTGCGTGGCCCCTGGGCGCCCACGGGGGTGGAGCTGGGCCTTCCCGGGGCCCATGTGGGGCAGACAGGTGCTGACCTTGGGCCTGTGGTCATGCTTGGTCTGGAGCTGAGGGGACTCTGGTGGAGGCATCTGTCCCTCCTGGGCCCTGAGGGTGCTGTCCGTCTGGTGACCAAGAGATACTGTCTGCTCAGCCAAGGGGCTGTGGCCCCGGGGCTCTGGTGGCTGCGGGATGATGACCTGCAGACCCATACTCACTGGGTGGGCACCACGAGCCCCCCTAGAAGGGTGTCCTCTCTCTGGGTGTCCGGCCCAGCTCAGTGTCGTCTGGTTGACCCTGAAGGTGCTGGGTGCCGTCTCGGGAAGACACCCTGGGCTGACCTCCAGGGCAGGGGCAGGACTGGAAACACTGTCCGAGGGTACCTGGCCACACTCCCCTCTGTTTGACAGACGGGGAAACCTAGGCTGCCCACAGCTGTGACAAAAGGCGCTCGGTAGGGCTCGTCTGTGGGCAGGGCAGGCTGTCCCGGCTGACGAGGCCTCCAAGGTGTGGTCCTGGGACCCCCGCCTGCGAGCTCCTCTCTTGCACTCTGTAGCCCCACAGCAGCTGCTTTCTCTCCCTGCACCAACAGTCAGGGCTTAGGACCCTCGGACCAGGACCCCAGTGGCAGGACCCTCAGAGACCGCCCACCTCCCCCTCCCTTCGGGCTGTGGCTTCAAGACAGGGCCAGGGTGCAGAGTCCATGCTGGGGAGCCATGGGGAGGGGCCAACCACGTTCTGGGCAATGGGGGGTCCCAGGGCCAGGACTCCTTCCGCCTCGTCAGGTGACTGTGTGGCCCGGTCGTTAGAATTCAGACTTGAGTCAGTGGCTTTGTCGCTGACCCAGGTTGCTGCTTCCCTTCCTGGGCTCCAGTGTGCTCCACCTGGGACGGGTGCAGGACACCCGTTCCCCTGTGTGGGAGGGCCGAGGACAGAGGGCCGTGGAGACCCTTCACGGCAGGGCTTGGGCGGGGCCTGGACCTGGATGCTTCTGTGCTGGGTGCGGGAGGGGCAGGATGTTCTCGCCTCCTCCTCCAAGAGCCCCGGAAGGCCCTCATCGGGGCTTGGAGGTGGGGTCCACTCCAGGAAGCAGCAGTGTCGCCTGCGGCCCACGTTCACGGGAAGACGCCAGAGACGACAGGAGGATGTGCCGGCACCCAGCACCCGCACCTAGCACTCGCCTCGAGTAACCACCCCAAAGTGGAATCCACGTGCAGCCATGCAATAAAAATGTGCAACTTGAGTAAGAGGCCTCCGAGGAGATTAGGAGTCAGGCAACTGAGGTCAGATTCTGGGCCTCCCGAGCAGACTACGAGGAGGACAGGGATTCGCTCTCCCAGTGGGGCCCGCGCCGGCACCAAAGGTGCGCTCCTCAGAGGGCCTGGGAAAGACTGGCCTCCTCCCCGTTCACTTGCCCCTAGCTCATTCCTTTGTCCCCCAAGCAGGCATTTCTCATGCCCCCACCCCGGGGGGCGGAGTGTCTGTTCTTCTGGAAGCTTCTCCAAGTCCTCCTGGGGCTTCCTGAGTGTCCCTGTCCTGGCCAGGCGTGGTCCCCGCATTCCTGGGGCAGCAGGCAGCCCTGCCGGGCTATTTCGGGCTGACCACGGGCTCGCCTTCCTGTGGACGGGGACTTCTCATCAGATGCAGGGAGAAGGGGTGATGCCACCCCCAAATTACAGGTCCCTGCTGGGTGGGGCTGGGCGGGACAGAGGCGTGACGAGCACCCTTGGAAACCCCAGGCCTGTCACCTGCCTGCTGGGCCCTGAGTTCCTCCAAGATCCCCGAGACCTGGTGGCCACGTAGGCTACAGTGAAAAATCTGAGAGTCAGATTCTCCAGGTGACCGTTTGTTCATTTCTTTGGGAGGGGGCAGCTGGGTGTGGCTGATCCCCAGAAAATGCTGGAATTAGCTGTGTCACTCCCAGGGAGGCCCCAGCCCACCCGGCAGGCCACCCTCCGCCACCGCCGGGAGGGAGGGGGTTAAGCGTGTCTCTGGGAGGAGTAGGGGGTAGGGCGCAGGCCCTACCCTAGCCTGGGTAATCCAAGCCCTTAATGGGCCCTGCAGCCCCCGAGTGACCCTGTAAACCCATCAGACCCGGCCCTGCCCCCAGGGCTGAGCAGAGGAGCCAGCCAGAGGGAGACCTCAGTCAGCTCTCCACGGGCACTCGGGGCCAGCTGAAGACCAGGACGATGCGAGGTGTCCCTTAGCTTCTTCCCAAGACAGGTGACAGAGGAGGGGGAGGAGGGGAGAGGTGGGGTCGAGAAAATGAGAGAAGGAGACAGAGAGAGGGAGAGAGACAGAGGAAGGAGGGAGACAGAGAGACAGAGAGGGGAAGAAAGAGAGAGAGGGCTTGGGAGAGACAGCGGCGGAGGCTGACGCAGGAGAGCAGAGGCCTCTCCGAGCCTGCTGGACACAGGGCCTTGTGGTCTCCGGAGCCTCTGAGACCAGCCGGACCCACGCGGGCAGGGAGAGGACTGAAGACGAGGTGCAGGACCCAGTGCGCTCACTTGTTCTTTCAGCAAATACCGCTGAGCCGCTCTTCTGGGTCTCCCACCCTTGGGGGGTTGCAGCGCAGGCTGGCACCTGTCCTGGCAATGCTCTCTGAGTGCTAAGTGGGGAGGGGAGGGAGGAAACCTAGTTGGCAGATGCCCCTGGACAGGAGCCAGGCCGTGTGGGTGCCACTCCTGTGCGGCTCTGTGGGAGGGGACAAGGGTGGCCCTGAGGTGGGCCCGAGGCAGGGCTTAGCAGGGAGGGGAGGGGGACCTCACGGGAACTCTGGTGTCAGACCTCGGAACTGGCAGAGGTGCTTCGGGGAGACTTGGGTCTAGTGGGAGGGGGGAGGCTTCTGTCGTTTTTTTTTTTTTTTTTTAGTTGGAGTCTCACTCGGTAGCCCAGACTGGAGTGCAGTGGCCGCTCCCGGGCACCGCAGCCTCGACCTGCTGGGCTCCAGCGATCCTTCCGCCTCAGCCTTCCGAGTTGCTGGAACTACAGGCGCGCACCCGGCTAGTTTCTTATTTGTTGTAGAGACGAGGTCTTGCCAAGTTGCCCGGCGGGTCTCGAACCTGCCGGCTCAGGCAATCCACTGTCTCGGCCTCCCAAAGTTCTGGGAGATGACAGGCTGAGCCACCGGGCCCGGCCCAGTTTTTCCTTTCCTCTTATTTTTCATTTTCCTTGGAATTTTTGTTGTTGCTGTCCAGGCTGGAGGGCACCGCAGCCTCCAACTCCGGTGCTCAGGGCGTCCTCCCACCCCAGCCTCCCGAGGAGCTAAGCCTCAGCCTCCCCAACCCTCCAGCGAAGGCACCGCCAGATTGGGGTTCCTTAGCCTCAGCCACTGTCAGGCAAGCACCCCCCGACTGTGTCTTTCCTGGTCTCCCCCTGTTGCTTGCTGCTCACGCAACCGTTTCCTTTAAATCCACTCACTTTTTCCTTCCCTCTCTCTCTTTTTTTAGTAAGACTAATTTTAATTGCATTTTCCCTCTGAGTATAAAATTAGGTCACTTTGAAAAAAACTTTAATTAAAAAGAAAAACAATATATTCAACGCAAAGACAGTATCGCTTGCCGTAAATAACATAAATGTGCATGTTAGTCCAAAGAACATACACACACCACACCAACAATGGCCTGAATTCTCGCTTGACGCTCTCGGTCACGGGGCCCACGGGACGAGGGTGTCAGAGGGGCTGGTTAGTGCCCAGTGGGGATGCTCTCCTTGAACAAATCACGGGAAGAGAGGCCTGGAAAAGGAAGGTTTTTCTCACTGCTGCCCTGTCCTTGTACCTCCCCAAATCATCTGAAACCCCGCGGTGTCCCTCCCCAATTCTGCAACGTGCTCGGGCACCAGAGAACTGCTCTGATCAAAGGCCAAAGCCTGAGCTCATCGCATACAAAGTCAAGATTGTCTGGGAACGAAAGGGGAACCTGAGGTGGGACGGGCTCCCGGGGGCCAGCGCCACCGGGTCTCACTGAGACCCGTGCCAGTCCCCCTCTCTGCCCTGCCACCCCGGCAGAGGGTGGACCCTGACCACAGGCTGACCCTGCTGGGGCTACAGAACGGCAGCTGTGACAATTGGGGGCCCACGACTCCACGTGGGTGTTCGGCAGAACACCCACGAGAAGGGGTCTCCTCTGCCGAGACTGGAGGTGAGGCCGATTGGCTCTAGATCAATAATAGACTGATTGAGTCTGGATCAACAGCTGGAGGTCCCCCGGCCCCCCAGCGAGGGATGCAAGCCATGAAGCCAGTGCTGCTCTTTGGGGTAAAGGGTGTGTCCCTGACCCGAGGGAGCTTCAACCATTTGAGCCTGGGAGCAACACTGCTCCCCAGAGACCTGAGGCGTGCCGGGCAGGGAGGCAGAGCCCTGGAGAGCACACGGCAGGGAGGCAAAGACCTGGGGAGGGCGTGGTAGGGAGGACAGAAACCCAGGCAGCACAGCAGGAGGCGGGGATGGTGGAGGGAGTGGGTGGCGAGTGTTTCTTCCCAGAAGGGTTGCTACCCGCATGTGGCAGAAGCCGTCTCTGGGGACCCGGAAGGTGCAAGTGTGATGTAAAGCTTGGGGGCGTTGGCAGCTTCGGGGCTTCAGGACGGGCTTGGAACTACTGATCCTCACGCCCCCACCGCTCTCTTGGCTCCAGTTTTCTTACCTGGAAAATGAGAGAGGTCTTGGTGGTGCCGTCCAACCGAGATGAAAGCCAAGCCACGTACTCAGCTTCCTAGTAGACATATTAAAAGAGGAAAAAGAAACAGGTCAGCTTAATTTAGTGATATATTTACTTGGCCAATGCAGCCAAAAGGTTGTCATTTCAACCTGTGATCAATAAAAAATTATTAATGAGATATTTTCATTCTTTTTAAAATACAAAGTCTTGGAAATCAGGTGTGTTTAACACTTACAGAACATTTCCAGTCGCAGAGTACATTTTCATGGGAAATACTTTATCTGTATTTAGATTTAATAAAATTTATAGTTGAAAAGCAGATCACTTAGCCGGGTTGCTCGAATCATACCTGAAAGTTTTCTCATTGATTAGAATGCCAGTAAATCATTTGTACTTAATATTCACATTCCCAATGATAAAATGGCCTCGGTTGCAGATTTTTCTACTTGCTAATTTTTGAGTATATTTTCATATGATTGGAGGACATTGATTGGAATTTTTCCTTTTTGTCACTTATTCATTTCTTTGGCCCGTGTCTCCTGTAATGTTTGTCTTTTTCTTTATTTATAGCAGCTATTTATATTTCAGGGCTATTAACCCTTTGCCTGTGACATAATCTGAAAATGTTTTCATTGATTTAATTTCCCATTGTTTTTGCAAAGCAAACATTATTTTTAAAGGTAGAAAATATAGAAAACGTCATTCATGTTTTCTTCCACACATATGTGGTTCGTTTATTTGTTTATTTTAAATGGTTTCAATTTAGAAACAGTTTCGGATTCCCAGGATGTCGCAAAGATGATGGAGGGCGGTCCCCGTGGCTTCCGCCATCTCCCCCGGGTGGCCTCTTGCATGACTGCAGTGCTGCATTGGAGGAGAAGCTTGCCACCGGGACACGGTGTGGTTCGACGTCATGCTACCACCGTGGACTCTGGACCAAGAACCAGCCTCCACCACAGGGTCCTTCCTTAGTGTGGTTTCCTTCTGTTCTCCATCTATCTCTTCGGCCCGTTGGTGGGGTATTTCGGGGACAGCGTCTAAGAAATTAATCCAGGGTCATTTTTTTGTCCTATGATCACTTTCTCATCTTAATAACACACTTGTTTCATTTATTTTTTTAAAAACAGCTTTATTGAGGTGAAGCTGTCAAATGACAGTGCATATCTAAGGACTATGACTGGGTAAGTTTTGACATGGGCATGCACCCATAAGCCCAGCAAGGCAGTGACGTGTCTGTCCCTCAAGCCCCCGGTGATATTTGGCCCCCACCTCCTTCCCACCTGCTCTGCCTGTCGCCCCAGGCCAGTGGGCCTGCTTCTTTCATTTTCTGCAGCTGGAGCCGCCTTCCTCTTCAGCCCCAGGGATCCACGGCCCGACCTTTCATTGCTGGGGACAGTCCACGCGAGGCTGCACCAGTGCTCCTCATCCACCCTCCCGGACATGTGGGTGGGCTCCAGCTCCGGCTGCTGAAGTAAAGTCTGATGAATACTTGTGTACAGGTCGTTGCGTGCATATACAAAGGCCTGTTCACGAATACTCATGGCGGCTACATTTTCACATTCACACTGAACATTAAATGCAAACTGATTGACGTGAACTAAGATGAAAAGTGTGCCAGTTCCTCATAAGCTCCTGTCACGCTCACAGCTCCGTAGCCACACGTGGGCTGAGGCTGTCTTGCTGGGGTTCTCTGAGGAACCCCTGCAGAGATGCCAGGTACTAATGCCTGTGCCCCAGGCAGCACCCAGTGGGTGCCTAGGAGGTGGGCATGAGTTCCCTCCTGTACCTGGAGCCACTGGAGAGTGCCGAGGGATGAGAGGTGTCCAGATCGCACTCAAGGGGAATCTGTTTAAGTCCTTCCGTCCGTCCACCCATCCACCCAACGTCCATCATCCATCCACCATCCACCCGTTCATTCAGCCATCCGTCCGTCCACCCACTCAGCCATCCACCCGTCCATCCATCCGTCCACGATCCGTCACCTATCCACCATTCACCCATCAATCCCTTACTCATCCATCCATCTAGCCATCCACCCACCTACCCTTCAACCAATCACCCACTCATCTCTCCATCCAGCCGTCCATTTTTCCACTCATCCACC